TGCTAGAAGCCTCTTCCAAACTAGACCAAGTCAGCATGGTCCCACTCGGTTGTGACAAGATTCATGTTTCTACAGTGGAGTCAACATTTTATATAAAACAAGTAAACCTACTATTTTAGTGTTATTTAAGTAATCAGTGAATATGGTAGGTCTACTTGTTGTATATAGAAGGTTGACTCTGCTATAGAGCCAATTGTTGTCTTCATAGCAAAACTATGGTACACATACGTAATTGAAATACAAATGATTTCTTAACATAATAAATTATATATATATCATATAAATAACTCACCCTTAACCCAAACATAAGAATCTAAGCCACCCCTCTTTGTTGAGACAAACATTGACATAAAATCTTATACATGTCAGTTAATTTATTAACAATACTCTCTCTATCAAGAATCTACTTTATTAAACACCAAAATTCATCATGTACTTGTGGCATTATATAATTATATACCCATTGATACTGTATAAACATGTGTTGAATTCATGTGTAATAATTTGTGTACATATGTACACAAATTAAGATTTGTGTACGTATTTGTGTGTGTACAATGAATGAATTTGGGAAAAAAGCTGGAAAAGGAATAATCCAGGGTGTTCTTGTGTAGAATATTATGGAGGGTGTGTGATATATGAAAGCTGCCTATACGGCGTCGTGGTGTAGGCTTTGTCATAGGCAAAATTTGCAGGCGGTGAAGAGAGCTAATCATGTGGGTGCATGTGCACAAGGCTTGGGGTGAACGTGCCCAAACCCATAGCCACAAATTCATTTAGCTTTGGTTGATCCCACACTGCATATATATTGGAACATCTTGTCTAATTATTTTGGCTTTGGACCCACAAACCCATTTTGATATTTATGGGGAAAAAAGATGAAAAAAATAGACTGTAGGGTTGAAAATAGGAAGAAACTATAAATGTAAATGTACAGTTCTACATTGATGTAATTTCAAAGCATGATTTTGAAGCAAATTAACATACTTTTTTTCAATCAATTTGCGATTGTTAGATTGTGTTATGCAACATTTGTGATGGTTCCGGTGACATCTAGAGTAAGTCGATTGTAGTTGAAGACATGGTCTCGAGTTGTATTTTAAGGCATATCGTCTCGATCGAGACATATATATATTCTTTAGTCGATTGTCAGGTTATCTTGTTACAAAAGTTGTGATGATAAATTGTTGTGACATTAAGGATAAGTCTGTCATTTTATGGCATAATCACAACGCAATCCTTAGATTGTTTGATTGCAGAATTTGTGATAATTGTTAGTGACAACAGAGGTAAGTCGATTGTATTAATTTTAGGATAACGAGACATACATACTTAGTGACATCAGGGGTAAGTCGAATTTGTGATGATTGTGTTGATATTAGAGATATAAGTCTGTCAGTTTATGAAGTATATAAAATTATTGATCGAAATTTATCGATTGAATATATCATTTTTTTTTTTTCGAATCCTAATTTTAGAGAGCAAATATATGTTTTTTCCTTGTAAATGAAGAACGTGGAGCCGTTTGTTCTAAAACAGGACAGTTGTAAGAAATTGCATAGATTAATAGGCATTTGTATGGCTTAGAGTTTACATTAGCTAGCTAGGCCAACTAATCTTGTGAGGATATTTGCATACATATAAAATTTTGGAAGTGGTGATATAATTCTATTTTTGTACATTTAATTTATTTAATTGTAACGTGGGATATTTCTATTGGCCATACTATTGTTAACCAAAAAAATAAGAAAAAATAAATGTTAAAAATAGGTGGCCATTGAAAAAGTGACGTCCCCACAAGAACTTGGCTGCCTCAAACTCCAAATAATTCTACATTAAGATGCTATCCTCATTGTCAACTATATAAGGACTCCTATATGTGACACCTTCATGAACAAAACTACATTGCAAATTCACTTTCATACATAATTAAGTTCATTTAATTTATTTCTTGAAAAGCATATATATAGCTTTCTACAATAATAATATGTCCACCGGAAATTCTCGCCGGGAACTAGTCGCCGCTAAGGAAAGTTGCGACTTTAGCAGCCCTTTTTGGAGAAATTTAAGTTTGGAATGTCGGTCGACGAGAAATTGGTCGAGAGTTAGGTGTAGAAGCGTGCCGATGAGGAGACGGGCGCGTTTGGATCGTCGTGTGATAGGATTGCGAAATCCCGTCGAGAGAAAGGTGAGAATTCTGAAGAAATTGGTGCCAAATTGTGAGTCAAGCGATATTGGAGCAGAAGAACTGTTTAGAGAGACAGCAGATTATATTATGGCTTTAGAGATGAGAGTTAAGGTCATGCAGATTATGGTCAATGTACTAACAGGTGCTGGTGATGAGTGATTATTTTTTTTGTTTATTATTATTATTATAATTATTATTATTATTATTATTTTGGTTGTATTTTATTTGTATTTTTATGCGAATCATTGAGTCGTTTAATTTGTATAAAGGCTCATTTGATACCATTATATTTTTATTTATTGTTGGTTGTTTTTTC